AATCACAGTCGAGTAGGCCTCTGACGTCATTCCCTACATGAGAGCTGGTACTGGCCGCTCTGGTGGCAAGGGTCAGTATCCCACGAGGCTAGAGTTAGGTAGGACCTCGGCGGCCACATATATACCTTGTTGCCTTTACTCAATAGACTGTTGAAGTGAAGTACTGTGCATTCTCTACAACCAAGCAAGCACCATACATCTAACGGTAACGAATTTGGAAAGGAAACGAGTTTAGGCATTGTATGTACTAGCTCTATCTATAAATTCATCAATATCTGTATCACCCCTTGTTATGTATGTACTTTACCTAAATAAACATTAGAATTTTTTAATTTTGAATATATGATAAGGAGCCTTACTCTCAGGGTCCTTATTAATACCTGATTTATATGTACCTTATATTATACGAGCCTCCTGCTTCTAGTGTTTTATTTGGGTAACTTTACCACTCATTATAAGCCTTCACCAGCCCCCATACAGACAGACACCCTAGGACTTCACCTCACCTCACCCCACACAGACACACCCTAGGACTTCACCTCACCCCACACAGACACACCCTAGGACCTCACCTCACCCCCACAGACACACCCTAGGACTTCACCTCACCCCCACACAGACACACCCTAGGACTTCACCTCACCCCCACACAGACACACCCTAGGACTTCACCTCACCCCACACAGACACACCCTAGGACTTCACCTCACCCCACACAGACACACCCTAGGACTTCACCTCACCCCACACAGACACACCCTAGGACTTCACCTCACCCCACACAGACACACCCTAGGACTTCACCTCACCCCACACAGACACACCCTAGGACTTCACCTCACCCCACACAGACACACCCTAGGACTTCACCTCACCCCACACAGACACACCCTAGGACTTCACCTCACCCCACACAGACACACCCTAGGACTTCACCTCACCCCACACAGACACACCCTAGGACTTCACCTCACCCCACACAGACACACCCTAGGACTTCACCTCACCCCACACAGACACACCCTAGGACTTCACCTCACCCCACACAGACACACCCTAGGACTTCACCTCACCCCACACAGACACACCCTAGGACTTCACCTCACCTCACCCCACACAGACACACCCTAGGACTTCACCTCACCCCACACAGACACACCCTAGGACCTCACCTCACCCCCACAGACACACCCTAGGACCTCACCTCACCCCACACAGACACACCCTAGGACTTCACCTCACCCCACACAGACACACCCTAGGACTTCACCTCACCCCACACAGACACACCCTAGGACTTCACCTCACCCCACACAGACACACCCTAGGACTTCACCTCACCCCACACAGACACCCTAGGACTTCTTATGTGGTCTTAATCAGCTGGTCACCATTGCTATCTTGATAGCTTCTCTTGTTCAACTCATTCGCTAGTTACAACCCCGCTCCTGTGCCAGGTAAGTCCACTACGGGCTCACCATAGCCTGTGCTACTTGGAACTTTTGTTCCCAGTAGCTGAATCTATAACAAAAACAGCTGTTCAACTACTCTCAGGTAATTCAGCCAGAAATACCTGTCCATAGCAACAAATAAAAGTTTTTTGCGGCGTTTATTACTTGCTCCAACACCCAATTGTGTCACCTAATCCGAACACACGAGCCTGACTCCTGTCTCAAAGTTATTCACCTGTTCCAAACACCCTGATCCTCACCTGTCATTCTCACCTGTTCCAAACACCCTGATCCTCACCTGTCATTCTCACCTGTGCCAAACACCCTGATCCTCACCCGACAGTTACCCAAGGGTGTCCTTGATCCAGGACAACAATTAGGCTATTCCTAATCTTGACAGTTTGCGAGGATTGAGCCAAAGCTCCCGGGCCCCACCTTTGATGTATCAGTCGAGCTGGAAAATGCCAACCTCTTGAGCGTTTTTAAAGTTCTGAATCTCTCTATTGCTACTTGGGTCACTCCACCTGCTCCTTGGCAACCTACATACATAAGGAGCACTTCCTGATAAGGACCCCTTCCTGATAAGGACCCCTTCCTGATAAGGACCCCTTCCTGATAAGGACCCCTTCCTGATAAGGACCCCTTCCTGATAAGGACCCCTTCCTGATAAGGACCCCTTCCTGATAAGGACCCCTTCCTGATAAGGACCCCTTCCTTATATGGTGGTGGTCCAGTGGTAGGTGGCTAAATCGAAACTTCTGCTTGTGTTCTAGACCTTATTAAATACCGGTTTGGGAATGAGTGTTCATTCACGTATCACGTAGGTAACAGGTAATAGATGATGAGTCGGGGAAGAGTTTCAACATTAAGTTAAAGAAATATAAGAGTGTGTGTGTTTGAATATATAGTGTCCTTTCTGAGCCTATAGACTTCCTTCAGTGTCCAGCTTGCTAGTAGCTATCAGCCGAAAATGCATTTAACTGACGATGGACGACCCTTCGTTTGTTCAAACATGAAGGGTCTTCCTTTGATATTTAAAACCAAAGTCATAAATTAAACAGCTGTTTTATTTTTCCTTAGGACTACAAACGCTGGTCCAAGCTCCATCTATTTCACAAGGACCAACTACCACCAGCTCTTGATCACTATTTACTCAACCTCCAAATTCCCTCCGCGACACCTTCAACGTCCACCAAATTGAAAAATAACGACCTCCAAGAATTGACAAAATGGCAGCGAGGCGTAAAAACGTTTGTATAAACAAGCGTTGGCACCTGAGGCAGGACCGGCAACGCGGGCGCCACCTGCCCGCCTCCCTCCTAACTCAAATCATCACTAACATCAACGCTCTTTCTCAGGTTCATCATGACAAGAGCCGTGTTTTGTCTTTGTTTTGCCATCGAAACCGGTTGTGCTCTAGCAACGAGAGTCGCCTCTTAATGCTTCGTGTGTTACTCCACCGGTCGGTGTGGTGATGGGTGTGGCAAGCCATAGTTCACGTGTGTGTGGAGTCACTATCTACTACATGCCACGTGTGTAGAGTGAATCGTTTAATACATATAGTACTCAAAGCCTCATTTCGTGGCCCTAAGAGCCAAATCACCTCCGATGTTTAGTGATCGCAAGTGCTGTCAGCAATGACCCGGGAATGTCTCATCCGAAAACCATCACTCTTATATATGTAATTGTCATTACTTTAAAATAATATGCTAATGTAATAATAATACAAGTAACCAAATAAACCGCAAATCTGATTCATAATGCAGAGACTAAAAGCAATTTATTCTGCAATAATCTTGGATATAATGAAGCCTAAGCCGAGACCAGAGCAGGGAGCCAGCACACGGGGAGCAGTTATGTGGTTGCCCTTGATGAGAGAGTGAGGATGCAAGGCTCCCCACACACACTCACTCACTCACTCTAACACACACTCACACACCTGCCTCGCCTCCCTGGCTGGTGTCTGTCCTCTTACGGTACAACCTGTAGGATTGTCTGACCCTGGTGACCACCTCCCTATCAAACAAAATGTAATTTTCGGTATATATGAACGTACGTGGGACGAGGAATGACTGCTGTACAAACGTCAGCTACAGCACGTTCAGCCATAATGAATATACCGCCTTCAAGGAACTTAATAAAAAAAAAACAATGTCATTAAAAAATAAATCTAAATATGCTTCGCCAATAATAACCTAAATTGTCACATTATTCAACATGCTTGTACTGATGGAGGGGGGGGGGGGGGGTACACCCCCTCCATTCATACTCCCCCCCCCCCTTGAGACAACACACTACACATGCTAGGCACGAAAACATCCAACGCATTATATGCTGGGAGACGATAATGCCTAGCCTAGCATATGCTGGCAGACGGCACAGCCTAGCCGAGTATGATACAATGAATGCTAATTTTCCTATATTACCCTGATGCCTACATACATGTTTACTAGGCAGCCTTTTCCACTAAATCAGTGCGAGGAGACAGATGGAAGTTGTACGGAGTGACTCTCTCTCTAACATGCAGAGGAAATGGCTGATACAAAAACATTCTACGTGAAATGTTCTCTGATTCACTGTTTATGATGGCCGAATTCGTCAGAAACGGTACCTCTGTCAATAATATTCAGGGAACACGCAACTGTAACGCTTCACATCGACGCAGTTTCTGGGAACTGTGGAAAACGAGCAACTTCAGTTTTATAGTAAACATTACATGCCTTACATGTTTCCTTCAATGCACAAGTGCGATGATTATGTTCTTGCTAAAACGGAAATATTAGGCTGCACAGAAAACAGTTGCATAGAAGAAATTTACCCAAGTTTTAAGGGGCAACGTGTGTCAGATAAGCGGCACAGATAATCAACAAGTGTCGGAAGCGCACACACACGCACACGCGCACACACACACACACACACACACACACACACACACACACACACACACACACACACACACACACACACACACACACACAGTCATACAAACACACCACACTTTTGGGTGTGAGGGGAAAAAAGGTTGATTAACAGTTGAGGCGGGCCCAAAGAGCCAGAGCTCGACCCCCCCACATGCATAAGTAGGTAAGTACAGCCATACAAACCCACCTACACCCCCAGCCAGCTAGCCAGACACCCCCCCCCACCCACACACCCAGCCAGACACACACACACCCAGCCAGACACACACACACCCAGCCAGACACACACACACCCAGCCAGACAAACACACACCCAGCCATACAAACCCACCTACACCCCCAGCCAGCTAGCCAGACACCCCCCCACCCACACACCCAGCCAAACACACCCACACACACCCAGCCAGACAAACACACACCCACACACACCCAGCCAGACAAACACACACCCACACACACCCAGCCAGACAAACACACACCCACACACACCCAGCCAGACAAACACACACCCACACACACCCAGCCAGACAACCTATGAAAAAAATATACATCGAATCCAGCAAGGAACAAAGAGCCAAGTGTGTTGACTAGCCAAGTGTGTGCTCGTCAGGCCTGGAACACATCTCACCTTCATCTGACACTCCCTGCTGAGGCCGTAGGAGGGACCGTGGTACGCCATACTATAGACTGCTAAAACACTGGGGGGTTATCCAGAGGGGGAGGAAGGCCACGAGAGCGGCGAGTGTGAGGGTGTTCACTGGGCGAGAGTCAACTAGCGAGTGAGTGCACTCGGCCCCCCGGCCCGGCCGACCGACCCCCTCCACTTTCACAGGACAAACCTAATATGGCAAGGCCGGATGATACCAGCTGTTTGCCTTATCTCTCCCTCTTCATCGTAGCTAACTTGCGATGCCGGAATGAGTGCGGTAATCTGACGGCTTTCGTAAATCTAGAGCTCCAGGGAGAGGAGTGGGCGGGAATTTCCGCGAGGTTTCTTAACAAGACTTGAGGCAAGGAGCACACGGGCACCCAAGTCTCTGACCCAGCGGCCAATCAGATTAGAGGATGAAGTGAGTCACTTTTGTCGACCAATGAGATCTTGGCTAACAGTCGCCTCGGTGATGTCACTATGACGTCGAAGGTGAGAGAGAGAGAGAGAATCTAATCTGCCGGCGTATGTTTGGACGGCATGTGTCACGCAGGAGATCTCCTGCAGGCATCATGTCCTACACCATTACTTAATTGTAAACAAGACAAAATAACTGCCATAGTACCCTTCCTCACACAATCTCCTCTGCACTCATAATTCCTCAATACATGTGCGCAAACTGGTCGGCCATAAATCAATTCTCAAAGGTCGAAAGCACAATGCCATAAGTGTTGCCCTAAAAGCAAAAAAAAAACACTTGTTTTTGCGACTGTTAATTGTCGGACTTGCCACATCATCTGCGACAGACGACGGTGACTGCCGCTAACTGCATAAGGCAAGGTATTTCCTTGGGGCTCAATATGGGTATATCTTGATCCAGCGTCTCTCTGTCCGCCCCGGCGCTCATTTTCTCATTAGTATACAAATGTTTTATTCTGATAATTGTTTTAAAGTCTTGCCACAGTCGCATAGTGTTTTTATTATCTTATCATTTTATTTTATCAGCCCGAAACGCTGCGTGTACTAGTGGCTTTACAAGAGTGTAAATACTGTACTATCCAATGTATTCTCACAAACCCAATGTACCTTCTTGTATATATATAAATAAATAAATAAATAAATAAATTATTGTAATTATTACACACAGAGTAGTCACTGTGATTATTTTTATTGTGATTTTTATTATTTAAATTATTATTGTTTTTGTTTATATAATTATTTTCATTGTATAATTAATATTGCTTCTAATATAATTATTATTTCTGAACATATTACTGTTGTTACCATAATTATTATAAACGATGAATGAACTTTTTCACCAGAGCTTCCTGAAGCAGAGTGGGTACAGTTGCCTGTAGCAGTGTGGGTACAGTTGCCTGTAGCAGTGTGGGTACAGTTGCCTGTAGCAGTGTGGGTACAGTTGCCTGTAGCAGTGTGGGTACAGTTACCTGTAGCAGTGTGGGTACAGTTACCTGTAGCAGTGTGGGTACAGTTACCTGTAGCAGTGTGGGTACAGTTACCTGTAGCAGAGTGGGTACAGTTACCTGTAGCAGTGTGGGTACAGTTACCTGTACTGTAGCAGTGTGGGTACAGTTACCTGTAGCAGTGCGGGTACAGTTACCTGTAGCAGAGTGGGTACAGTTGCCTGTAGCAGAGTGGGTACTGTTGCCTGTAGCAGAGTGGGTACAGTTACCTGTGGCAGTGTGGGTACAGTTACCTGTAGCAGTGTGGGTACAGTTACCTGTAGCAGTGCGGGTACAGTTACCTGTAGCAGTGTGGGTACAGTTACCTGTAGCAGTGTGGGTACAGTTGCCTGTAGCAGTGTGGATACAGTTACCTGTAGCAGTGTGGGTACAGTTACCTGTAGCAGTGTGGATACAGTTACCTGTAGCAGTGTGGGTACAGTTACCTGTAGCAGTGTGGGTACAGTTACCTGTAGCAGAGTGGGTACAGTTACCTGTAGCAGTGTGGATACAGTTACCTGTAGCAGTGTGGGTACAGTTACCTGTAGCAGTGTGGGTACAGTTACCTGTAGCAGAGTGGGTACAGTTACCTGTAGCAGTGTGGGTACAGTTACCTGTAGCAGTGTGGGTACAGTTACCTGTAGCAGAGTGGGTACAGTTACCTGTAGCAGAGTGGGTACAGTTACCTGTAGCAGTGCGGGTACAGTTACCTGTAGCAGTGTGGGTACAGTTACCTGTAGCAGTGTGGGTACAGTTGCCTGTAGCAGTGTGGGTACAGTTACCTGTAGCAGTGTGGGTACAGTTACCTGTAGCAGTGCAGGTACAGTTGCCTGTAGCAGAGTGGGTACAGTTACCTGTAGCAGTGTGGGTACAGTTACCTGTAGCAGTGTGGGTACAGTTACCTGTACCAGAGTGGGTACAGTTACCTGTAGCAGTGCGGGTACAGTTACCTGTAGCAGTGCGGGTACAGTTACCTGTAGCAGTGTGGGTACAGTTACCTGTAGCAGTGTGGGTAC